TCGCGATTTTTTGACGCTGCGCCGCGTGCCGCCTCCGAGCCTCGCTCCTCGGTCGTCGGCCATCACTCCTCGGTCGTCGCCCCCTCGCCCCTAGCTCGTCGAGCCTCGCGCCTCGGCGTGGCCCGCCGTCGGCTCGTGCGACGACGTCGACGACGTCGACGATGACGGCGTCGCCTCCTTGCCTCCCCAGATCTCCGACGCCGTGACTCCTCCTCCTGCCCTCCTCTTCCTCCTCCTCCTCCTCCTCCTCCTCCTCCTCCTCCTCGATCCTTCTGGATCCTCCTCGATCCTCATCGATATTCCGCGGTCCTCCTCCTCCACCTTCTCTTCCTCCTCCTCCTCCTCCTCCTCCTCCTCCTCCTCCTCCTTTTCCTCCTCCTCCTCCGTTCGTTCACGCGAGGTCGTTTCTTGAAAGTCCCGGGGCCCGCCACCCGGTCTCCGGAGGCCATGCTCCTCGCTCGTCGGCCATCGCTCCTCGGTCGTCGCGCCTCGCCGCTCCGAGTCCCACGTGCCTCATTGTCGGGAGGTTGATAGACCTGCTACCCTGACACGTCGATTGAGGAATTGACCGTTTTCGGTTCGCGAGAGGGTGTCGCGGCCGTCATTCTTGCGGGTCCAGGTCCGTCGATTTCAGTCCTAGGCCGTTTTCACTAAAGGATGGTTTACTGAAGGGGGCTTTGTCCACCGCCGAGTCCCATGTGCCTCATTGCGATCTGCCCCACGTTTTGGGGCCGCCGTACTTGTGGAGCGATCTCGCACGTAGGCCAAGCTGTTTCGCCCTACAGTCAATCAGTATAGCAAGCATGCGCGATAAGGATGCAAGGGCGGCCTTGGAGGATCATTTCGATGCTTTTCGAGCGGGGCACGGCCAGCGAAAGCGGCCAAGGATGGAACGAGGAGGCAAGGATGCAAGGGTACCCTTGGGAAGGTTCCCCATCCTTACTATGCGGGCTGACTGTACTTGTCGAACTCCTTTGATGCCAATTTCCGCCCTGCTTTGCCGTCGCTGTTTCCGCCATGCCCTCGCTGAGATGTCCGCCCCACTCCTCGGAGGCGTAGCTATCTGCCCTACATACTCCTTCGCATTGTTCTGGGTGTATGTCCGACACTCTCTTATCTTGGGGAATTCACCAGAGTACGGCGGATCCGAAGTCAGGGCTCTTTTCAGAGCTGGCGGAAGCAGAACGGCAGATCGCCATGAAGCAAGCGGGCTCTGGAGGGACACTCGGGGGCCCCCAAACGGTGCGCTGGCCACACCGTGTGGTGAGTCAGTGAGGATCCTGGGTGACAGCACGGTTACGAGACCTTGACCTTTCTGCGAGGACGTCTCGGGCGAATGGGGCATCCCAGGTCCCGAAAATTGGCGGTGACGGACTCTGCGGTGGAGCCCACTGCGATTTCGAGGTCACCGCAGGGTCTGTCACCGCACCGTTCTGGACCCCCCCGGAGCTTTTGCACTGTCCTCGGCCTCCCGGGGGCGCTCCCCGACGGTCGGCACACGGCTCCGCACGAAACAGGGCCGTCAAGGCGCTGGACTCTCTGGGCGGATTGAACCTGTGGTTCCTACGTCGGCTTAAGTCGGGCCTGTCCCTCTACAGGGGGAATCTCCAAAACTAGTCAACCAATAGTCTGGGGACGATCTGTTGACTATTTTTTGGCATTTGGTGGTGTTGTTTGAATATTTTGAATTTTTCGCCCCAAATCCCCCTGTAGGGGGACAGGCCCGACCTAAATGTTGGTCTGCGGTGCCCAGCTTCGGGGCCAGCAAGGTGGCTTGGCATCGCTCGGGCGTGTGCCTTTTTTGTCTCGGCGTGGACCCTCGAGGAACATCCTGGATCATCCATCGAGCAACAAAATCAGGAGGGGAACAAAACACACAGACACGATCAATCGTCGGTTCCCCCGAAAACATAAGAAAATATGGGAAGTGGGGGGGAGACAAAAACCCTGAAAATATTGGAAATTTTGATGAATCCAATCATTTGTGTCTATTTACTTGTGTGTGTCCCAGGGCCGCTTCACAAGAGCACGCACGAAACCGGAACATGCACGGGGAGTGGACATCCCAGCGATGGCAAGGTGGAGCCAGGACGAAGAGGAGACCATCGAGGAACACCCTGGATCGTTTATCGAGCAATAGGAGCATGCACGAAGCCGGAACAGGCACGGGAGCGGGCATCCGAGCGATGGCAAGATGGAGCCAGGACGAAAATCCAAGGCTGGGATTTATCCATATCCACCGCCTGGGGGATCAATCTTCGCGGACCTCCACAGGCGGTGGATCTGGATATATTCGGGCCCTCGGGGGCCAAAATATATCCATATCCACCGCCTGCTGGGGCACCAGGCCGTCGGTTCCCAGGCGGTAGATATGGATAAATCCCTGCCTCGCAGAAAAGGAGTCTCCAGGGAGGTGGTCGAGACCTCCGGAGGTGGAAATGCGACGTCCCCGCACATCCTCTCACGTCGGGGAAAGATTGCGACGGGAGGATTGTGGCGGTCTTCGGCCTCCGGCGGAGGCAGGGGGAGGAAGAGGAGGGGAGGGGAGGGGAGGGGAGGGGGAGGAGGAGGGGAGGGAGGAAGGGAGGGAGGGAGGAAGGGGAAGGAGTACGGGGAGGGCAGTGGATGAGGGAGGGGGCAGGGGGGGAGGAGGACGAGGAGAGGAGGAGGAGGAGGAGGAGGAGGAGGAGGTCCTCATTTGCCCTCAATGCGAGCCGACAGACCGTCGGCTCGATAGGATTCCAGAGGGGCCACCCCAGTTGGTTGACACCAGTCCAGGGCCTGGAACGCACGGGATCCAAGCTGGTCTCCTCACGCCAGGCCATTAAAGGTGACGCGCGCGAACGCAATTGCGTGCAGGGTTGGTGAAAAAATAAGAATGGACATATCAGTTTGACGAGGATAGTATCCCTGAGGATAGTTTCAAGAGGATGTTTGCCGGCGTGGACCCCACACAATACAATTGTGCATTATGGATGTAAAGCTTTGTGGTGAAAGCTATACTGTGCAACCTACGTGGTGCAAGCCATGTAGTACAAACTATATGGTGCAAGCTATGAGGTGTCCGCCATGTGGTGCAAGCTATGGTGTGAGCTATGCGGTGCAGTCTACGTGGTGCAAGCGATGTGGTGCAAGTTACGCGATGCAAGGTTTTTAGTCCAGTGTCTGTGGTGCAAGCTCTGTGGTGTACGCCATGCTGTGAAAGATATATGTTGTCAGCTGTGAGGTGTATGCTGACTATGTTGTGCAAGCTCTGTCTTCTAAGCTCTGCGGTGCAAGCTCTGTGGTGCAAGCTGTGTGAGGCAGGCTGTGTGGTGCAAGCTACCTGGAGGAAGCTGCAATGTGAAAGATATCTGGGGCAAGCCATGTGGTGCAAGTGGTTGGGACGCAACCGATGTCATCCAATCAAAGCGCAAGCCAGCGCACGAGGCGCCCGCGAGGCGGCCATCAACGCCACCCAGGCGAAGGCCCGGAACTCCCCAGCCAGCGCACGAGGCGCCCCCGACGCGGTCATTGCCGACCGCCAGGCAACAGCCCACAAGTGCCAGCCAGCCCGAGGCAACCACAGGCGCCCACACGGCGAACATCTTGTGTCCCCAGTCACTTTTCCATCACCAACATGAATCCAGCTTATCCCCAGTTAGAGGTTTGTTTTTCCTTCCAAAATGAATCAAAGCAGATCTGAGAATTGAAAGAATTGGTTGGCATTGCTAGGCATTGATTGGCAGTGCCTGGCATTGCTTGGCGTTGCTCGGCATTGTTTGGGTGTGCTTGGCCTTGATCGGAGTTGCGCTGTGTTGCCTGGCATTGCTTTGCGTTGCTTAGCCTTGCTTGACGTTGCGTGGCACTGTTTTGCGCTGCTTGGCGTTGGCTTTGCATTGCTTGGTATTGCTTGGCGTTGCTTGGCATTTCTTTGCGTTGCTTGGCGTTGGCTTGGCATAGCTTTTCGTTGGCTTTGCAGTGCTTAGTATTGTTTGACGATGCTTGGCATAGCTTTGTGTTGTTTGGCGTTGGCTTTGCATTGCACTGCGTTGCTTGGCGTTGGCTTTGCATTGCTTGGTATTGTTTGGCGTTGCGTGTCATTGCTTTGCGTTGTTTGCCGTTGGTTAGGCATGGTTTGGCCTTGGCTTTGCGTTGCTTGGCGCTGTTTGGTCATGCTTGGCGTTGCGTGTCTTTGCTTTGCGTTGCTTGGCGTTGGCTTTGCATTACTTGGCATTGCGTGGATTTTCTTGGCAGTGCTTGGCGGTGCTTGTCACCACGTGCAAAGCACTGCTTGGCATCCAAGCAACGCAAAGCATCCCCAGGCAACCCCGAGAAGCCCCGAGCGACCACCGGGCTAGCAACAGACTCCTTTCACTATCAAATAAGACCCTTTTAGGCAAGCGTCATTGGCTTAAGCTCGAACGCGCTTCCCACTCGAGGCTACTGAGCGGTGTATGCGAGTGCCGCTCGAGCTTGTACCTTATCTGTCACAGGCTCGTGAAAGACTACAAGAACACAATATCATCAGCAGCATCATCATCACATCATGATCATCATCATCGTCATCATCAGCATCAGCATCAGCATCAGCAGCATCATCAGCAGCATCATCATCAACATAATCACCACCGCTTCTCTCTTACAAGGGAGCAAGATCCCCTCAGGTAAGCCTCACTGGGGAATGCGAGCCCCTTCGTGCAATAATTGTTTTTGGAGAGGTGAGGACAAGAGAGGAGGATCAAGAGAAGGAGGGGAAACTGGAGGAGGAAGACGAGGAGGAGAAAGATGACGAGCTGAAAGGCGTGCAGGAGAACGAGTTGGACGAGGTTCATGAGCGGAAGACGA